ATTTGTGTATACTAAACATTGTATAAAGTGCAATATACTTATTAAATGATTTTATTCGTTTATTTATTAATTTTTTTTCCTTCTTTATTGTAGAAGTTGTGAAAAAACAGAATTTGGAAAAATCAAAAACAGATATAGGACATTATAATTTAAGTGGAAATGCGGTATGTTGATAAATTTATTCATTTGAATTTATTTTATCCAGCAGCCTACAGCTGAATATATACTTTAACATTTTTAAAGTTTAAACTCAACAATATAAAAAAAAGTTCACATTCAAGGTCCTTTAAAGCCGTAATTGCTGACAAAATATGTGATTTTTCAGGGTTTTTCATTAGAATTTAACACTTCTAACAAACTCTAGATTAGGTTATTAAACATTTTGGAGTTATTCCAACTGAAATTCTTCAGGGTTTTTGTAAAATCGTGTTAAGAAAACAGCTAATTTTTATTATAAATAAATTTGGTGATCAGTTACAGAAATTCTCCCGTTAAAAGAGTTCAGAATAGCTCAGCTCAGAGCATTTGCATATGATTTTAGCCCCAACTTTTGCTTTAACGTTCTTGACCGTTCAATTCCTCCTTCTAAAAGTCCTCCTTTTGGTCGGCTCTCATCCTCTGGTTGAGGTTTCTTTTCAGAGGAAGGAAGAACTTTGCCTTTTCACAGTTTTGATCTGCAGTCTATTCAATTGTTCTCCCTCGGACCTTTATTTAAATCTGGGGATTATTTTACCTCCTTATTATCTGTATTGTGTCAACACTGTCCAAAGTGTACGCGTCACAGTTCAGATGTAAACAAACAAGTCATAATTGTTGCCAACAATGCATGAGTCTACCGATTTCACTCATTTTTGCACACTGTGGTAGAATTTTGATGCATATGTACCATATCATATTATACAATATGATGCGTATTTAGTAGCCGTTTTAAAATCATCGAAGATATGCATGTGCAACAAATTTTAATCAAACATTGAAAGTTGGGTATTTTGACAGCTGTTGTGGCTTTAAAATGCAAAAAAATGAAATGCAAGTAAATAAGTAAGTAAAATGCTATGTGTTGACGTCGTATGTTCCCATGCAATGATGAAATTAGTTCTCTGCATTTAACCCATCACACCTGGGATACACCCAGGTGGAGCAGTGGGCAGTTATGCAAGCACCTGGGGAGCAGTTAGGGGATTAGGCGTCTTGCTCAAGGACGCCACAACATGTGGGCATGGCGGGGAGTCGAACCGCAACTTTCTGGTCCCTCGGCTGCCCTACCTCTACACCATGTTAGCCCCTGTAAAAAATTCCAAACTCAGCGATTAACCTTTTTTAATACTTGCCATCACAATACTGATCAAAATAATTGTGATCATAAATTTTTCCATAATCGAGCAGCTCTTTGTGAACCGCTGAATTAAATTGTTCAATGAGGACCAGCTAAAGAAACAGCCGTTCACACATTTGTTAAACCACAAAGCATCTCATTCCACATGTTCACCTTGGCAGCCAGGTAGAATAGAGTGCCGCAGAGACAAAAACGTCTGATATTAAAAAAAAAAAAAAAGTGTCCCATCAATGATATGGCTCTTGTGTGGCCTACTTTCAGAGAGTTGAGGTAATCAGTTGGGAAATAAAAGGAGACGCACGTCAAATAATCAGGGCTGCTTTTGGTGGGTGAGAAATGGGGGCAAACGTTTTGAAACCAAGGATGCAACCTAGATAATGCTAATTGTCCTAAAAATGGTCACCTGCTGTGACAGCCCTCAACCAATAAGCTTTCACGTGAGGCGTTTCTGAGCAGCTGGTTGGTCACCATCATGCAGGAGCATTTGAGAATTAGGGTGTCAGAAGATATGTGAATGTAAAGTACATTTTTATTTCTGAAAGAAGGCACAGGTACATCAGTGATAAATCATTGCCAACTGTTCCTTTGTGTCCACAGAACCATGAATCAATGCAGTACAGATCAACTTATTCAACAGCAGCTTCCACCTGCCCACACACGGGCTATAAAAAGCTAACCTACTCAGCTAGACTCCTGGATGAGGGGGCAAATCCCTCAGCATCCTTGTCCTCTGGTATGGTGGATTTTTGAAAGACATGGTGCCTATTGAACAACCAAAAAGAAATGCAGCAGGTATCGATTTGGCACCAAGCAAAGACGAGGTGAGGCGCCTAAAAGCTTTTCAAGTTATTCAAATGTTATGCAACGTGGTGAAAGCAACTCAAAGCTTTTACGTTTTCCATCCTTCAGTGTTCATTAGGTGTGTCAAAGTATGAGTATTCATCTTTAAAGGCTGGAGGTTGAACAAAAAATAGAAAGAGTTGTGAATATGTAACCCAATGTCCACTCGAAATAAAGCTGCAGTGCTCACAAGTACAGCTACAGCTTTAGCAACATTAGCTGGGTTCAAACTACAATTTGGTAGTACTGGTACATCAAATTTAAATTAGATGACAAAACATTTTGACCAGTCAATTACAATAGCATCACTAGAATGCATTAGCAGAACAAGACGGAAGCAAGTTCTCTAAATGATGAAGTTAAAACACCCTCTCCTTTTATTTTCAAACTGTGCTAATGCAGAAATTCTACAGGGATAGCAGCTGCTGTATATATGCAGGTCCACAGTTTTAAGCAGCGAGTCAAATTACTCAAGCTGTGCTTCGGTTTAACATCGTGTCCGCATCTTCATTTGATGTGCCAAACATGAGATTTAAGAAAGGCAAAGGGGCTAATGACCAAAATCCAACTGGACATCAAATTAATCTTCAATGAATGCTACAAACAAAGTGCAACGAGACTCAAAACGATGCATCAAATGTTAAAAAGAATTCAGAAAAGGTTCAATGAAAATTAGGAGACACAATTCAAAGTGAAACAAAAATTACATTAGTGATGAGATGAACATTTTTCACAAAAAGAGACTAAATGTGTCCAAAAGAATAAAAAATATTGAAAATGTGACATACTGTATCAGATGCCGAGGTCAACAATACTGCTTTACATTGAAGAAACAAACAAGAACGAGTTATTCAGCTATTTTTAAGTAAAGTAACCGTACGTTTATTTCACTGGATAAGGACTTTATTTCTATATTCTGAGCTGAGAGCGCCCCGACATTCATCAACTGCAGGTAAGCCACAGATTACTTTTAACAATGAAAAACTAAATAAGAAAACACAGATAGATGCATCTGAAAATCTTAAATTTCTTAAGAATGATAGATTTTGTGAAACAGTGCTGCTTAGAACCAAACTTTGGTTGCATGTGTTTTAAACATATATTTTAAACAGTTTAAATGCGACAAAATCTGATACTCTTTGTTACAGTACTGTATTAAAAATTTCAGTGTCAACAAATCCCAAAAAAGTTGGGACAAGTAGCAATAAGTGGCTGGAAAAAGGAAATTGAGCATATAACAAACAGCTGGAAGACCAATTAACACTAATTAGGTCAATTGACAACATGATTGGGTATAAAAAGAGCTTCTCAGAGTGTCAGTGTCTCTCAGAAGCCAAGATGGTAAGAGGATCACCAATTCCACCATTGTTGC